CTGTTTGGCCAGGCTCAGGGGCAAAGGAGGCTTATATGGGCTGAGCCTGGCGTGGGTGCCCCAGAGACCAATTAGCACAGAGCTGATGAGCTGAGTGTGACAGCCCGGCGCTGAGGGCACCACAGCCTGTCCTCGGAGGCCACTGGGTGGGCCTGGGTGCCTGATCCTCCATCCAACCAGTCGTCCAGCTGTGAGACCTGATGACCAAGACTGGACTTCAGTGGCCTCTGAGAGGGATTGTGGGTCAGGACTGGCACTGGGAGTGACCACAGCATCCTCCCCGTCCTGTGCAGCAGCCGTCCCCTCTGTCCTGGCTGAGCGTGACTGACCCCACACACGACAGCCGGCAGAGAAGGGACAATGTGGCGTTCCTGCGTCTGCATCTGACTTCTCATCCAGGAAGAAATTCTTGGACTGTCCTGTGTGCATGGCCACATTTTCCGTGTATTTGCAATACACAAGCAGACAAACACGCACATGTATGTAAACACAAAGTGCAGAACATGATGCATATGTCCTTTCCCTGGGGCCTTCCAATGAGTTTTGCACCTAATTTTCCCCTGAACAGTTTCCAGAACCTGTGTTAATAGTAGTACAGATGGTAACCCTGTTTGTAAAGGCTTATCCTTCAGGGTGTGGAAGAAAATTGTTTAAAACCCCTGATTTTTAAAGTGCAAATAAACTGTGAACAGATTTTCAGGGATACACTTTTGTAGCTACAAGCCAATGTTTTCGTTCAATAAAGTTTTTAGAACAATTAGCTGAAAAAGCAGCCTCTTCTCACGCATGCCATGGAGTCTCCTTCCAGAAGCAGGTGGGGGGTCGGGCCCGACAGCGCTGTATTGAAGCAGATACATTCCATGTGGGTTTTAATGTTCGAGTTTTACTTAACTTTTTCCTGAACCCACCCCACTGTGCGCCCGGGTCTGCTGCGCCATTGCTGGGACCGTGCTGGGCTCACATCACCTGGAATGAAATCTCAGGCCCAGCAGTGTGGGTGCGGGGTGGATTAGAACCCACCCCTGCAATCAAGCTGCCAAGCGTGAAAATGCTCTGAATGAAATATAAGCACATACAAATGATTTGTACTGAGAAAACCTCAGAATTATGCAGAAAATTCCAAGAGACCCAGCAGCAGGCCTGGGGTGCCTGTGAGGGGGAGGCCGGACAGCATCCAGGGCCCTCCCCCCCCTGCTGTGGCCCATCAGTTCAGGGGTGTCCGGTCTCCATCCCACATGGCTGAGCAGATGCCTCACCTTCTCCTGACAAGGCCTGTGGTCACTCACCATACGTGCCACCACGGACACACCAGTGTACACGCGCTCACCGTCGTGAATACACTCACTCCACCACGAACTCACTGACAGTACCACAAACACACACCACAGTGAACACACCACCATGAACACACTCACCACCACAGTGAAGACTCTCACCACCATGAGCGAACACTCTCACCATGATGTGCACTCACGCCACCTGAATCCAGCCCCCTGGACGAGGAGCCAGCAGGACAGTGGTGTTCTTTCCACTTGCTGCTCTACACAGGGGCAGAGGAGGATGCAAAAAGGCCACAAGGCAGGAGGCCGGATGGGAGGATAGAACAGCTGCCACCTGCCCGGAATGAGGCCAGAGCCGCCAAAAAGCCCTGAAATGGCAAAAACCAAAGCCAAGAGCTGGAGCAACATGACACCCGCACAGCAGGGCCTGCGGGCTAGAGCTGACAAAGGGCAGAGGAGGGTAAGGGGACAGTCGCTGTCCGTGGGTCACACACACACACACACACACACACACACACCCCTGCGAGAGGCCTCAGGCGCCGGCACCACCTCGGGCCGTAGCTGACAAGCCGGGAAGCACTGGGCTCACTGTAGTCACAGGCGGCAGCTGCCTCCTCAGAGAGCATCGGTGATGGTCACAACGGGCCGCGTGGCTGCTGGACATCGCCGGTCAGTAGTGCAAGTGACTACCGGTCCCTCAGAGGTGGTGTCAGGGACACCGGTGTTCGCAGCTCCTGGCGAGTGACTGGGCGACGCCAGCAACGAACAGCCCTTCGAGAGGCCAGGCCCGGCCGGCGCTCCTGAGGCTCCCTTCAGGCGAGGTCAAGGCAGGCCCGAGCCCTCTCTGCGAAGGTCTTCAGCTTCTCTTCTCTTCCCTTCTGGGAGAGGAGCTGCCGGACGCTTCTCTCCTCAGAGGCCGGAGCCGGCTTCCTCCCCTCAGGGCCGCGCTCTTCTCCCCCTTCAGGGGCCGAGTCCTCCTGCCCAGAGCCGCCAGCCCGGCTTAGAGCCTCTCAGGCTGCCCCGCCCACTATTTTTGGACCATTTTTCACCGCTGTGGCTGATTGGGCCATTTAGCACCAATCAACCTCTATCTCGCACCTGATTGGTGCATTCCGCGATCCAGGAAGTACCCTGTTGCATAAAAGGGCTCTGGGGCGTGGCTGCCGGGACCGCCCGTGCGGCCTCTGGGGGGGCACCCGCGGGGGGGGCGACCCGCAGGAGGGGTGCGGGGGGGGCCTGCGGGGGAGGCACCCGCGGGGGGGACCCGCTGCCCGCCCGTCCGCCACGGCGGTGGCCCGCTCTGGCAACCCCGTGAATTGAAAGAATTAGCGAGAGAAGCTGCGTGTCTGTCGCGCCGTGAGCTCGCTGCTCCCCGATGCCAGGAAGGGCCCGCGGGCCGCTGTGTGCCTGGCGCACGCGCAGAGAGTCCTGGAGAAGCGGCTGTTCCGCGCGTCTCCGAGCTCGTCTCCGGAGCGCTCCCTCCTGCGCTGACGCTCCCCGCACCGCCTCCCTGCGCAACGGCGCGGCCAGGCCCCGCCCCAGGCCCCTCCACGGCAGCGGACGCCCCGCCTCCTCGCGGCTCCCGCTCTGCTCCTGCTCGCAGCGGCGCAGCCATGGGGGGGGGGGTGGTCAGCGGGGGAGTGGCGCCTCAGAGCCCTATTATAGCACGGTGTACTTCCTGCGTTGTGTCCTGGACCAATCAGGTGTGAGGTATGAGCTGATTGGTGCTCAATGGCCCAATCAGGCTTTTGTTGCTAGGACCCGCCTCTCACCACAGGTCAGTCGCGGTAGCCGCTCCTCAGAGCCCTTTCATGTAAAGCCACTTCCTGGGTCGGGGAATGGGCCAATCAGGTGCGATGGGCTGATGGGTAAACGGTCCAATCAGCCACAGGAGTGAAAAATGGTCCAATCAGGCTTGTGGGCGGGGCAGCCCGGGAGCGGCTATAAGCCAGGGCCGGCGGGCTCTGAAACGCGTGTTCCGCAGCTCGCGAAGGGGCGGGTGGTGCCGCGAGCTCCCGCCGAGGCAGCGCCGCCCGCCCTGAGGAGAGGAGGAGCCACGCCGGCAGCCGCCCTCCGAGGGGGGAGCAGCGCGAGGACTCTGGGTCTGCGCCGCCCGGAGGGGCCCCCGGGGCCGGGCCCGGCCCTCGCGGCGCTGTCTGCTGCGGGCGTCGCCCACCTGCTCGCCAGGCCCTGCGGACGCCGGGTGCCTCTGGCCCTGTCCCCGCGGGCCGGGGACCCTCCCTGCTGGCCAGCGCAGTCCGAGTGGCCCGACGGCTGTTGACCAGAGGGGCCCGCCCCTGAGGCCCCGGGGGAGGCGGCCGCCACGGGGGCCACGGTGAGTCTTGTCTCCCCTGCGGGCGGCCAGCCCTGTGGCGGCCGTCGAGGCCCGCCGTGGCCGTCCCCGGCGCTGTGCTTCGCGAGGCTGCGGGCGTCGTGTCGCGGTCGCCTTTGGCTTTGGCTTTTGCCCTGTTAGGCTTTTCACTGCCGGGGCTGTCCCTTCCCCCGGCCCCGCCTCGTTGCCGTTCTCGGGTCCTCGGGCCCTGGCTGCGCTCAGCAGTGTTTCAGGGGTCTGGAGGGGCAGGTTTTTCTTCTCTGGTACGATTTAGTCCAAGTTTTTTTTTTTTTTTTATTGTGGAGGTCAAGGGCCGTGTCCCTGATCTGCGTGGGTGACCTCAGCACAGAAGCACGACGGGGACTTGAGCGTGACTTCCGCGCGGGGGTCAGGCCATCTGCCCACGTGGCGCTCGTCTTTCCCTCTGGTTTGGGGGTCAGTGTCCTTTTCCCGTCCGGCCGCCGTGCTGGTGACCGGGCCCCGCCGAAGGCAGCGTCAGGCTCACCCTGGTGTGCGTCGACACGGAGCCCACGGCCAGTCCAGGGCGCACACCGTCGCCCGCGACACTGGCCGGCCTGTCTGTCCCGGGGAGCAGCCCCCACCTCAGGCCGTCCCCTCTGCGTGCACCCCCCCATGTGCTCCTTCCCCACTTTATCATTTAATTATTTTCTAACTGTGGACCCAGCACCGCAGAGGAGGATCAGCCTCTGCCCCCTGTGGGGTCTGCCCCGTGTCCGCTGGGGCCCGGCAGCACAGCCACGCTGCGTGGCCTCTTGTCCTCTATGCAGTGAGCCACGGGGACGTGGCATCCAGTGGGCTGGCAGGGCGCTGGACACCACGCCTTCCTCTGGTCTCGCCCTGCGGGGGCTGGAGCTGGCCCTCAGTGGGCTGCTGTCTCACCGAGGAAGGTGAACGGGAGCAGGGGCAGCGGCCACTCCACAGGCCAGGCCACCCACCCAGGGCAGTGGAAACGCAGCTGCCCTCCCTGGGCCGGGGCAGCAGTGACTGGAGTGGTGGGGTGTCGGCCCCTGGCTTAGTTGAAAGCTCTTACAAATGTGAGAGTGGGCGCTGCCAACATCTTGGGCAAGAGTTTCATGGAATCTACAGAACTGACCCTGCCCTGGTGTGCCAGTCACGCCCCCGAGGCTGTGTGCTCACGTGTGCAGTGTGAGGGGCCCGTCGCAAGGACAGTCACGGGGACAGGCTCAAGGTCAGAATCTGGCACGAGCGTGAGTGACCGCAGGTCCAGAGGGCGGAAGCCGTGAGGGGCTCTGCCAAGTGCGGCCAGTCGCAGCCCCCCCACCCACGCACCGCCTGGGGTAGCGTGGACGCAGGGCCGTGAGGCCAGGCCTCGGGTGTGTTTCTGCACTTGCTGGCGTTTCCCGTGGGGGAGTCCCGCAGGCAGGGGTGCTAGCCTGGACCATAGGCGAATGAAGGGAGAGGAAACCGGCGCGCGTGGCTCAGGCGTGCGCCTGAATTTAAGTGTCAATGCTTGAACTCAAATGTCTGCCCCTGGCCTCCGGGTGTGGCCCCAGGGGAGGAGCAGCGGGCTGTGAGTTACCCTCCGGGGCTCCAGGCCGGCTTTTCCATCCCCTCGCCCCTCGGGAGTGCTCTCCGGAATGTTCTCTCTTCTCCTGGGGATCCCCAGCCCCATGGCACGGTGGTGACCCCACATGAGCCTGCTATTAACCTCCCGTGCAGCTGGAGCCCGGCAGGGAGGCCCCCGCAGCTCACAGGCTGGAGCGGGTTCTGGGCAGCTTCGGAGGTGCACCCGCAGATGCTCCTGGACCAAGGCCCCTGCAGAGGTCCAGGCGGGGGAGGGTGGAGCGGGCGCCCCTGTCTGGCAGACCTGGGGTGGGAGGAGCCCCTGGACCTGCTGTCCCTATGTGCGCTGACGCCAGAGCTGCCTGCTGCGTCCTCGGGAGGGAGTTACGACGTTTCCATCTGTGCCCACGGAAGAAACTTGTCTTAACTGGTGAGAAGATTACCCAGCCGGTTCACTGCAGGGGCCGAGAGGACCAGAGTGTTGAGACGTAGCAGCTGCTGTTAGGAGGGAAGTGAGGGTCGGGGGCTCCTTCCGGGCCACAGGAGCCCTGCCGGGCAGCGGGCATCGGGCATCAGCTCCATGCAGGGCTGGCCGGCGCAGGGCGTCACCCCAGCAAGGGGGGTACCCACAGCTCTCTCCTTGCCCCTGACCGCTCAGTGTCGTCTTTGATCTCACTTGACAACCCCACGCATCTTGTCCTGCTTTATGCAGTTCATTTTCCTCAAGGGCCGGAGCAGTGCTTGTTAAACATCCACGTGACCTTAGAGACTAATGAGATGTACTTCTCCTCTAGCTGTGGTTATGTGGCGTGTCCCAGGCCTGAGTCCTGGCTGCCGACCCCTGAAGCCTGCGGGCCCAGCTCCCCAGAGGCTCAGAGGCTTCTCCGTGTGCCCAGGGCGAGGGTCCTGCACCTTGACTGCAGGGGAGCAGGGGTGAGTGGGGCGTGAGATGGATTTTCAGGAGGGTGGGGAGGGCCTGGAGGTTGAGCAGAGCTCTGTCCTCCCCTGAGTCCTTTGTCCCTTCCCTAACTGTGGAAGCTTCACTGCTCCCCCTTTCAGGACCTAGAGGAGTGTGGTTTTGGGGGTTTTCATGCGGGGCCCTCATGTCCAAACTCAGGTTCACACTCCGTGTGAAGAGGTCACCCATGTGTGCCAGGTGAAGTGTCCCTGCTCACCTGCTCACCCAGGCCGTGAACGCGCCCTGGTCTGCTCTGCTCTTCATGCTGCGTGGCGGGGGCGGCCCAGCCCTTCCTCCCTGCACTCACAGGTGCAGTCCTGTTTGCTTGTTCGTCAGGCCTGAGACGAAGCAGGGGCCGGGGTATTCCCTGACAACACGAGAAATGATAAGAGGTGTGCAGTCTGTGCAAAAGCCAAAGGACAGCGCTCCTCCCCCATTCTCTGCCCTTTCTAGACCCTTCTCTGCGCAGACCATCAGTAGGCAAAGCTGACTTTGAGCTGCGCACCGATGTGGCAGCTGGGTGCAGGGTGCGTTTCTCAGCGAGGCCCTGAGGTGCTGCATCTTCCCCAGGGTTATTGGAGATGAATATGGCCATGGGAATGGGCTGCCTACCAGCACTACCTCTGTCTCTGCAGGTAAGACTCAGTACCCCTGAGAAATTAGCCACCATAACCAACATAACAGAGTTCCTGCTGCTGGGGCTCCCCGAGGACCAGGCGCTGCAGAGGCTCTGCGCCAGCGTCTTCCTCCTGACGTACCTGGCCGCCGTCGCGGGCAACCTGCTCATCGTGGCCCTCACTTCCGCGGACCAGCGCCTGCAGACCCCCATGTACTTCTTCCTCAAGAACCTGTCGCTGGTTGACATCTGCTTCATCTCCACCACCGTGCCCAAGTCCGTGGCCAACACGCTGACCAGCGGCCCGGCCATCTCCTTCCGGGGCTGCGCCGCGCAGGTCTTCCTGGTGATCGCCTTCGCGGGCTCGGAGTTCGCGCTGCTGCTGGCGATGTCCTACGACCGCTACGCCGCCATCTGCCGCCCGCTGCACTACGGGGTCCTCATGAGCAGGGCCGCCTGCGTGCGGATGGCGGCGGCCTCCTGGCTCAGTGGTTGCGTCTATGGCTCCCTGCACGCGGCGGGGACCCTGTCCATGCGCTTCTGCGAGTCCAACATCGTGCACCAGTTCTTCTGCGACGTCCCCTCGTTGCTCGCGCTCGCCTGTCCCGGGGAGCAGAGACTGGAACTCGCCTTCATCGTGTGCAGTTGTGGGTTTGGTTTCTTATGCTTTGTTTTAATGGTTGTGTCCTACGCTCACATTTTCTCTGCTGTCCTGAGGATTCCGTCCACCCAGGGCAGGTTCAAGACCTTCTCCACCTGCCTGCCCCACCTCTCGGTGGTGACCCTGTTCCTCACCTCCGGAATCATCACCTATTTAGCTAAAAATTTTAAATCTTTGTCACTGAAACTGGTGGTGTCTGTGCTTTACACAGTGTTGCCCCCCAGCCTGAACCCCGTCATCTACAGTCTGAGGAACCGGGACATGCGGGCAGCCCTGGGAAAGCTGATCAGCGGGGAAATGTCCAGAACCTATTTTTGACATAAATGTGTAAAAGCTCATTCAGGGGACGGTTTGGTGGTCACAGTCCATTCCGGCAGCACTGTCTGCGTGTCCTGGCACCCCAGTCCTCTTCCAGGTCTGCACGTTGGTCCTTTCAGGGCGGTGTGGCCTGCCCCTTGCCGGCCCGATGGTGCCACAGCAGGAAGGTGCTGAGCTGTGGCTGTATGTCCTGCCTCAGTGGACAGCGACGCTGGCGTTCATACTCTCGGGCTGCGGGGATTTTATTTTTATAAAGATGGTCTCACGCTGGTTGGTCATCTGACAGGTTGGAAACAGTGCTCTTCACATAAAACCAGCTGGTCACCTGATGCCGGCCCGGTCAGCTTGTCCTTGATGGCCGTGAACTGGGGAGGGATCTCAGCTTCTCTGGGTGAGAGCGCAACTGGACACACTTGTCGGTTTCTGCGAGGGCTTGTATTTTTCAACTCTGCTTCTGAGAGAGACAAAGAAGAATCTTTCCGTCCACTGTGGGGTGGACTCCCGACACACTCCTCTCGCTCCCTGGGCAGCCTCATTCAGGGCTTCTCCCTGGCGAGCTCCAGCGCGGTGGGGCTGCGTTCCTTTGTGCTCTCTCTTGAATTTACAAAGACAATATTATGACGCTCTGGAAAATAATATTCAGGCAGAGGTGAAAATACACACCCACCGCAACTGGGAGCCTCGATCTGTGTGGGGGGCCAGGCAGCATTGGGGGACCATTGTCCAGGTTGAGCCCCTCCCACCACATCCCCAGGCGAGGCAGGGCAGGGCTTGGGATCCCTGGCGCAGCCCCTGGCCAGCCAGAACCCCTTGACTTGTCTCCTGTCCACGGGGCCGGAGCAGGGAGGCCGCGGGAACCTTTCTCTTCAGGCTGGTCTGGGCTGAGGCCGCAGCGGCCAGAGGCTGGCCTGGCTCAGGGCGGACAGGCGCTCCCTGGCCTTGCAGAGGAGCCCAAGCCCACGGCGCCGACAGTGCCGACAAGCTCTGTCCCTGCGCTCCCTCCTGCCCTGTCCAAACCTTCCTGCTTCATTCCCTGTGTCCCTTTGAGTATTTCTTTCCTTTGGGGTGTTTTCTTTCTCGTGTGCGTCCAGTTCGGGCCTCTCCACTGCTGACCACAGATCTCCCCCAGCCCTGCATGAACCTCTGCTGAGCTGTGCACAGATGTGGGCATGTCCTGCTGTGTGGCCGAGGGGCTGAGGCTGCCCTGGGGCAGCAGCTTGGCTGAGACGGAAGGTCTCAGCCATGGATCCCCCCTGGTGAAAGGCCTGGAGCAGGTGCATCCTGCAGCCCGGGGTCACGGTGTGGGAACAGGAGCCCCGGGAAGCGATCGCCCCTCACCAGTGACACTGCCGAAGGCCATCTGGGCAGCTGAGGTGCCTCCTTGGACCTCGGGGGCTGAGGCCACGGCTGCCCCCCTGGGGTCAGCTCCTCTCCCCAGGGTCTTCCCTGAGGTGGTGCGGGTTCAGAGGGGCGCTGTCCTGCCCGCTCCTCGCCAGCTCAGGCCCCGTTGATTTCTCTTTTCTGTTCTCTCGGTTATTTCCACTCGGGCTTCCTGGCGCTTCCTCCGCCCCATGAGGCAGGAAGTCGGGCCGTTTATGTGAAACCCTCTGGTCCCAGCGCAGAGCCCGTTGCCACGGACACGCACGTCCAGGCTGCTCGCTGAGCTCTCAGGGTGGGAAACGTGTCTCCGTTGTCATTTACTTCAATACATTTAAAATTCCATGTTTTCATTACCTGTTTTTAAAATTTATTTTTAAAAATAGCATTCCGCTCATGACGTGCTTTTCTGTCTCTGTTCCGTGTTGCGTCGCCGCTGGCGCCCCTGTCCGGCTGGTTGACCACGTGTGTTTGATGATTTTCCCAGATTGGTCAATTTTCCACAGAAGATGTTAAGTGTTTGGAACCCGGAAATAGCGCTGGCATCGCCGGAATTCCCTGGACGCACCGTTTGACTTTCAAAGGCCAGTCGCAGCCTTTCCCGCAGGGCGGCGCCGCAGGAGCGGGGCTTGGGGCGCGACCGAGCCTCTCGGGGCGCTGGGCCGCTGTGGGCACACATGCCCCGCCAGGCAGCCCCTTCCGTCCCAGGAGCCGGCGAGACTCGCGCAAGGAAAGGCCCCGCCCGGCACGCGCTTCCCCGGCGCGCAGATGGCCGAGAAGGCGTCCGGGTGTGCCCGGCCCCCCCCTCCCCTCCCCCCCTCCCCTCCCCTCCCCCCCTCTCCGGGTCTGGGGCGAGGAACACGCGGGCGGTTTGCCGAGGGAGCGGGCGCGCGGGAATGGAGGGTGGGGATTTGCCGTGTTCGTCCTTTTATAGACTTTTGCTTTTGAGGCGCAGGACACTTTGTTCTTAGAACTGACGTAAAATGACCTGGAGTGACGCGCTGAAGCTCGCGTCACATGGGGAGGGGGGCTGCCGCCCACACGCTGGGGGGAGGCGTGACTTTTGCCTGAGCTCAGGGGCTGGGCCCTGGGAAGGTGGCAGTTGCGGGGGGCCCCTCCCGGGCCAGGGAGCCCTGGGGCCGCTGCTGGGGCCCGAGCCGGTGGCACCGGGACGCCTGGCGCAGCCTTCACTGGGGCAGGAGGGGCGGACCTGGGCAGCCGCCCGTGTCCGGGGGAGCAGCCGCTCCAGCCATCCCTGGCGCTGGACGCTACGTGGGGCGGGATGGCCATCCCCGCACGACACCCCATCGGAAGGTGTCCCCAGAGGGGGTGCCAGGGTCCAGCCCAGGCTGCCCCGCGCGGGCCCGGACGCGTCGGGAGGAATCCGCAGCCCCTCGGAGCCGGGCGGGGGAGCGAGCGCGAGGACGGCGGCTGCCCCACGGGTCAGGGTCCCGGGAGTCGCGAGAAGCCGCGTCAGCTGCCGCTCGGAGAGTCGCGGGGAGCACGTCTGTTCGCACAGGGGGCGGCCGGCACGGCCGCAGCGCGGACGTCGGAGCACGAGTCAGAGCTCAGGGCTGACGCTCGCAGCGAGCCCGCCCGCCGCAGCAGCCCTCGGCGGTGCCCAAAGAAGACGTTTACAGACAACGTTCCCAGTCGGGGCGCTGCTTCCATTCTTGTGAAATGTGTCGCCAAGGGGGAGGAGCCAGCGAATAAATGTCCTAGGTGTAAAAGCCTGCTTTACACGCCGCGACACTTCTTCAAATCCTCCTCTGCTTTGAGACGGGGCTGAGCCTGCGGCACCCCCGCCTGCTCCCGGGCCCGGCGGGCTCACGCCCCGGCTGGCCGCTCTGCTTCGGCCCTGGCGCGTCTGCCTGGAGGGGCGGGCGCCGGTCCCCGAGGCAGGTCGCCCTGCTGCAGGGCCTGCCCTGGCTGCGGTTTTCCACTTACAATAAACTAAGCACAAGCCAAGAATGGACAAAACGAACAGGTTGGTCGTGAAGGGGCAAATGGAGCCCCTTTTGCAGGCCCGTGTGTGTTGTGTGCCTGGGTGTGTGTACACGTGTGTAACTGTGCATACATGTGTGCGTGCCCCCTTTACCTGCAGATAGGTGGTGTGAGTGCATGCCGCGCTGCTGTGTGCATTGTTGGGGTGCCCTGGGCTCCGACCCCGTGATTCAGAGGTCAGGCTACCCTCGGGTGCTGCCCGCCCCAGCAGCAGGGCCAGGCGGCCGGCTGGGCCCCGGGACCGGCTCCCCATACCGCAGCCCGGGGTTACCGTGGGAAAGTCACGCAGCCGCGGAACTCGGCGAGGGCAGAGGGAGCAAGGAGGCGACTCCGCCGACACTCTCGGGGCAGGGATTTTGGACGGCGGCGCACGGGTGCCCATAAGATGAACATCAAAGGGGTCTCCCTGGCCGCAGTCCCACGGCGGTTTAATCCTCGGGCGGGGCTCCCGGGAGTGGACGGCGGTGCCGGCCCCTGTTCCCGCGGCTCTGCGACTCTGCAGTTTCTAGACGCAGCAGGAAAGGAAGGGGTAGGACATCCCCCCACGGGGTCCCCCATTTACCTGCGAATGGGACTAAGTAGCTTTGAAAATGAAAACAGCCAAGTGCTCAGAAAAACCTGTCTTACCAGAAAGCGGGGTGCCGAGGCTGATCTAAGGGGAGCCTCAAGCACTGGCCCCTGGGGTGGACTCGGGCTCCCCGCTGTCTCCCGGGAATGCATGGTTTAAGGCTTGACCAGCAGCTCAGGAGCCTGTGCTGGGGGGCTGGTCCGAGAGTCCAGCCCGGCGGCCCTCCCAGGCCCGACCCCAGGGCTGCTGACCGCGTGAGGCTGGCGGACATGGAGCTCCTGGGCGGAGGACGCACCTGGAGGTGCCGGGTGCGTGGGGAGGGACGAGCTGGCCCCACCCTGGGGTCTGGGCACAGAGTGGGGCCCAGGGTGGTGGGGTGTGGGCGGGCGCTGCGGGCCCCCGAGTGGGGCGGGGTGCGATGGCGTTGAGGGGCGAGAGCCTGCGCCCCTAAATCACATGCAGTGTTGTCGACCAACGTCATCTCAATAAAGACAATACAAAGACACTGAATTGAGTCTTTTTGGTTAAGTTCTGCAGCATTTGAGCGCGGCTTACCCTGCGGCAGACGCCCTTGGACAGCAGCTGCCGCCCGGATGGAACAGGGCAGAAGACAAGCCGGCGGCCCGCAGGTGCCCGCGCCAACGTGATGAGAAACACACTTGCGTTTGCACGCGAAAACTCAATGCCATGGGCTATTTGTCAGGTGTCAGAGAGGCAGGACCCCCCATACCTGCCACTGACCACGTGTCCAGCCAGAACACCTGAAAGCTCCCGGATGCGAACCCGCGCGTGTACTTGTATTTGCAACTATGTGACTAGAGACTTAGAAAAACCAAAAGAATCAAAAGGCAACATCAAAACTAATGTCAGAGAAATAAATTCATTCCTTTTTGATTTTCAGTCACACCCCACAGAACAGACGGGGCGGGCGGGCCTGTGCTGGCCCGGAGCCCTCGTCCCGCGGCAGCCCCGGCCCGGCAGCGGGCGGCGGTCCCAGGCCACGGCTCCCACAAGGCGCAGATGAAGCGTGATCTGGTGAGGGAACGAAGGTCGCGTCTCGGGACAAAGTGAAGGTGTGAGCGGGGAAGGCGCCCTCAAAGCTCTACTCGCCACAGCTCGCCTGAGCCGCCCTGGTCTGGAGACAGTCAGACGCCGTCCGGGCGGCCGTGCCGAGACCCGCTCCACACAGATAGAAGGGCCAGACAAGGCCGTCGTGTGCGCGGCAGCTGCGCTGCGTCTCTGCCCTCCGGAGACCGAGGGCCAAAGACAAGCAGCGGTCACAGTGCCGCAGGCCGCGAGGCCCACGCGACGGGACGCAGGGAGGCTCTGTGCTCGGCGTCGGGCCGTCCCCAAAGCCGCGTATTTGTTTCGCGCGTCAGGTGAGTGTGCCAGGAGATGAAGCGTTTTCACTGATTCTGTTACTTTTGAAAAACATGTTTCCTGACCAGATTTAGGTTTTGTTGAGTCAGTGCGTGTTTGCTTCCTCGGCGAGGCGTGTGCGAGCATGTGCGAGCGTGCGCGCGCGGCGAGGCTGTGCAGGGCGGAGCTGACACGGAGGGGGACGGCGACCAGCTCCATCTGGGGCGCCCTGCAGGCTGCTCCCTGCGGGCACCACCGCGCTGCGCTGCTTCGCCGCCGCCCTTGGAGACGCCCCTGGAGAGACGCCCAGCGTGACCACCTGTGTCTGCCAGCTGGCGCCGGAGGGTGCTGGGCTGCGGTGCAGACACGGTGACAGGGGCTCTTCTGCAAGGTGGGGCACACCTCGCGGGGGGTCCGCTTCTGCACACAAGGAACAAGGGAGGCCCCAGGAAGAGCCCCGCCCGAGGACACGGTCCGGTGTCCCCAGCAAAGGCTGTGGCGGCGCCTGCAGCGAGAGGGACCCACAGGAGCCTGACCCACTATTTGGGGATTTGTAATGCCGGCGCCTGGCCGCGCCCGTCTCTGAGAGCTGGCGCTTGAGTTCTCACCACTGGGTTGGGATCAGAACCGGGAACGTCTGGCACGAGACTGACCTCTGTCGCCAGGCGCCGGGCTGGAGGCCAGGGGACATGGCGTGGGCACAGCCTGCTGGCCCGAGTCCACACATTGGCCCGGGGCTGATGAGGAGGCCCGGGGAGACCCAGGACGCGTGGCCTGAGCCCTGCCCGAGGGCGGTCAGCGCTCCTGGGGGCGGGGGCCGCCCACCGCCCGGGCCCCGCACAGCAGCCCACGCAGCGCCCCCTTCATGTCCCTGTTGCGGAGGCTGTAGATGAAGGGGTTCAGCATGGGGGTCACCACGGTGTACATGACAGCCGACAGGGTGTCCCTCTGGGGGCTGTGGGAGGAGGACGGGCCGAAGTAGACGGCGATGGCCGTGCCGTAGAACAGCGCCACCACGGCCAGGTGCGCGCCGCAGGTGGAGAAGGCCTTCCCGCGGCCCTGCGCGGACGCAAGCCTCAGGACGGCGGCCGCGATGGCGCCGTAGGACACCAGGATGAGCACGAAGGGCGTGAGGGCCAGCAGGCCGCCCACAGTGAAGATGACCAGCACGTTGGTGGAGACATCGGAGCAGGACAGCTGCAGCAGCGGGTGCAGGTCGCAGAAGAAGTGGTGGACGACATTGGAGGCGCAGAAGGACAGGCGGGCCATGAGCGCCGTGTGCAGCAGCGCGTGCAGCCCGGCGAGCACCCAGAGCCCGGCCACCAGCCCCGCGCACAGCTGCGGGCGCATCAGGGCCGCGTAGCGCAGGGGCTGGCAGATGGCCACGTACCTGTCGTAGGCCATCACGCCCAGCAGCAGGCTGTCCATGTTCACGAAGGTGATGAAGAAGAAGAGCTGCGCCAGGCAGCGGGCAAAGGGGATGGTGCGAGTGTGAGACAGCGCCAGGGCCGCCATCTGCGGGACGGTGGTGGAGCTGAAGCAGACGTCCACCATGGCCAGGTTGCTGAGGAAAAAGTACATGGGCGAGTGCAGGCGCGCGTCCACCCCGATGGCCAGCATGATGAGCGTGTTGCCCGCCACGGTGAGCAGGTACATGCAGAGGAAGAGCGCAGACAGCCGGCGCTGCTGCCCCTGGGGCCCGGCCAGGCCCAGGAGGACGAACTCCCTGACCACCGTCGCGTTGCCGCCAAGCATCGCCCTGCAGACCTGGGGGGTGAGGAGTGGTCGTGAGCCCCGAGGCCCAGCCTCATGCCCCAGGGGCGCGTGGCTGCTGGTGTGCGCGTGGCTGCGGCATGTGTGCAGGTGTGTGCAGGGGCGAGTGTGGGCAGGTGTGTGCAGGGGGGAGTGTGCGCACGTGTGTGCTAAGAACCTCAGTCCCGCCTGCCCACCTGGGCAGCCTGGACACAGCCTGTCTACGTGGCCACGCGCCGTGCCGGCCACAACCACCTCAGCCGCTCTGAAGAGTCGCTCCTCGCCCCAAACCAGACGCGCATCCAGGACGGGACGCCCTGTCCAGAGGGGACCTTGGCGCCGGCTCTGCCTCAGTCCTGGCCACTGGCTTCTCCCTACACCCAGGTGCTCGCCCGGGCCGCCTACCCGCGTCCTGCCCAGGAGCAACAAGCCTCCGTCCCCTGCTGTCCGTGTCACAGCGGCTGTGGCCGCTCTCCCCGCTCACCCCGAGTCCCTCGCTGCCCAGAAGGCCTCTGCCCAGTGGGGAGCACCGAGGCTGTGGCTCCGTTTCCACGCGCTCCGGCCGCTCTCTCCAGACAGGCGGGCCTCCCTCCCCCCCACTCCACAGGTGACCCCGGGCCCGGCCCCGGGTGCTTGTTTCTGTGCCTGCTCTCAGTGCCCGCGTCCTCGTGCCCCCATGACCCGCCCTAACGGTCCTTCCCCTGCAGCTCCTGCGCTGGCCTGAGCGCCAGGACACGGTGGTCCGTGGTGTCCTGGGGACCCCATCTGTGCTTTCTCCAGGAAGGGGGTCCTCGCACACCAGCTCGCCCCAGTGCTGCGTCCCTGGGTGCTGGCCCTGGCCCCGGGCAACCGCTGCCCTGTACCCCTGGGGTCTGACGTGCACCCTTATCCTGCAGGACACCCCACTCACCCCACTTTGCTGGAGTCGTGACTGGCCTCAGGGCGGGGGTTCTAGTCTCTGCCCCAGCCCCAGCACGTCATGTTATTAACTCCACGTCAACTACATTCCCCTGCCGCCGAGATAGTACCAGGTTTGGGCCTCGCGCCGCAGATATTTCTCCCTAAGATGACAGTGGAACGCGGCAGGACGCACCTCTTCTCCGAGACCCTGGGCCTGGCCTTCCTGCTCTGGACGGCAGATACTGGCCTGAGGGCGGCCAGGGGAGGGCGAGGAGGAGCCGGCTTCACCGCTGTGTCTCCTGTTTACTTGAGGGCGAGATCCCGGAGGCGGGCCCACCCCTGCCCCAGACCTCCCCCGCCCTCCCCTGTGTCCTCCCCCAGCCCTCCCCTGCACCCCCGGCCCTCCCCTGTGTCCTCCCCTGCACCGCCCCTGGCCCTCCCTGTGCCCTCCCCTGTGCCCTCCCCTGCACCTCCCCAGCCCTCCCCTGTGTCCTCCCCTGTGCCCTCCCCTGCACCGCCCCTGGCCCTCCCCTGTGTCCTCCCCTGTGCCCTCCCCTGCACCCCCCCAGCCCTCCCCTGTGTCCTCCCCTGTGCCCTCCCCTGTGTCTGCGTGGCCCTCCCCTGCGCCCTCCCTGGCCCTCCCTGCCTGCTCCCCGCGCCCTCCCCGGCCCTCCCCTGCACGGAGCCCAGGGTGCGGCTCTGCGGTCTCATCCCCGTCTCCGTGGACTGCCTGCGCCTCTCAGGAGCAGCAGCGGAGCCCTGGGAGAAGGCGCCAACCCTGGGGCCTGCGGCCTCCCTCACTGGGCAGCGAGCCAAGGGTGGGGCGGGCGGGGCCAGGCGAGCACATGGCTCAGGGCTGCCCAGAGCTGCCCACCCTGCGGGAACCCGTGCAGGGGGCGCGCCTGGCTTAGGGCTCCCGGGCAGGCCCTTTTCTGGGGTTTGCAGACGGTGACCTGAGAAGCTGGGCGCTCTGCCCTGGTCCCCCCGCGTGGGCCGTCGCATGACCCTGAGCTGGCGCAGCCCTGGCCGGGCCTCTGGGACCAGTGTCCAGGCGGCCGCGGCGGGCGCCAGGAAGCAGCCCCGGGGCAGGGCCCTCCGTGAGGTGAGCCCAGTGGGCCGCTCTCTCCGTGGGGCGCGGGTGCCCGGTGTGTCGGCTCCCAACACCTGCCCCGCGCGGCTCAGACGTCCTGGCATCGGCTGCGGGTCACGCCCGCCCATGACCCCCAGACTGAGGTTCCGAACCACTGGCGTTGGCCCGCCTGGTGCTGCCCTCCGTGGGCTCCTGCCGGTGCCAGGCCGGGCCCACCCCCGTCTCTCCCCTCCCCCTCCCTGACTCCCGGGCTCCGGCTCTGCCCTCTCTGGGCCCTCCGGCCCAGGCTCTGACCACTGGGCCTGGCTTCCTGCGGGACCGTCCGGGGGTCAGGGAGGCTGCCCCCACCCTGGGCCGCGAGGTCCCAGCTCAAGCCAGGAGTCTGCGGCTGCCCTGGCCTCCACCGGTGCCCCCCAGGGCCGTCCTGGTGCCCGTCCAGTCGCTGCCCTGTCTGGCCACGGGGCTTCTCCGTGCAGGAGGGACCCCCACGCGGACGCCGACCTCCAGCCGAGGGAAGGTGGCGCGTTTGGGGGGGTGGTCAGCGCCTTGGGCCACCGGGCCCTCCAGAAGGCCCTCTGGGGTGGGGGGCGGGATGCCCGGGAACCCCTGGAGCCCCAGTCACCACGGCAGGACCTTGTCCCCGCCAGCCCGGGGGTCCCCGAGTGGGTGCAGAGAAAGCGCTAGAACATCCCCTGGAGCGCAGCGCCTTGGGCCTGAGGCCGCTGCCTGGGCCGGAGCTTCTGTCTCCACCTCCCCAGCCAGGTCTGTGGGGACGGTCCGCGCCCGCGGGCCGGGGCACGTCTGAGTCTGAGCGTGGGCTGGGGACAGTGCGCTGCCCCCGCACCCCTGGCCCCCCGCGCGTGTCCAGCCGCGTCCTGGCGGCCCCCGCCCGCCCCCGCGCAGACGCCCCCGCCCGAGCCGAGCCGCCCCTGCGCGGCCACCAGGCCCCTGCGCGGACGCGGCGCACCCAGTGGGGGCTCCTGGCTGTGCGGCCCCCGCCCCCGCCGCCGCCCCCGGCCCCGACCCCGGCCCTGCCCTGCCGCCCCCGCGCCCCCCGCGCCCCCCGCGCCCCCCGCGCCGCGCCCCCCGCCCCCGCGCGCGCCGCGGAGCACCCGCCGACCTCGAGTCTGCGCCCCAGGGGCCCCAGGGGCCGCGGTCTCGGCTGGGGCGGGCGCTTTGGCCGCGGGGCGCCTGCGTCGGAGGAGCAGGGCCTGCACCCCTCGACCCTGCCCGCGTCGCAGCCAGTGTGGCCGCGGGAGGCGACCCGGGGAGCCGCCCCACGCTCACCCCCAGCGGGGCCGGGCCCGCAGCCTTCGGGCGCTCAAGGGAGCCTGAACCGGCTCGACCCGCTTGGCGCGGCTACCGGCGGGTGGCGGCCCACCAGAACCCCGCGGCCCCCAAACCCGCCCTCGCTAGGGCGACCGCCACCCTCGGGCCGGCGTCTGCGGGGGCCGCTCTGTGGGTGGGTCGTTCGCCCCCCAGAGACCCCCAGGGCAGAGCCTCCCCAGAGACCCCCCCAGGGCAGAGGCCCCCCAGGGCAGAGGCCCCCCAGGGCAGCCTGTCCTGGGCGAGCGGCTCCTGCTGCCGCGGACCTGAGCCTGGTAAAGGCCGAGGCCGCGCTGTCCCGGGGCTGGTCACTCAGTCACTCAAAGTCGTCGTCCGCCTCCGCTCCCCTGGTCATCACTCTGAGGGCCTTGGGGTAACCCAAGGACTCGCATCCGTCGCGTCACCTCACTGGGATGGGGCTGCCTTGGCCCTGAGCCTGGGCAGGCGGCGTCTATGCGGACCCGACTCACGGTTGACCCTGTGGACACGTCCGGCCTGGGGGCTCCTCCCTTCTGGGGTCGAATCTGCGCCCCGGGCCCCTGCACCGCGCGGCCCCCCAAACGGCAGGGGTGTGGGGGACCCTGCTGCGCGTCCTCCCTCCTCGGGCTCCTGCCCGGCTGTTGGCTCCCCGAGGGCGGGTGGGGGTCCGGGGAGCCCTGGAGGGGCCGAGAGCGCGGCGGGCCCAGCGCCCAGGGATGGCCGGTCCGGCCCGCGGGCGCCGCATCTGCCGGACGCAGGGCGGGGCGCTCTGGGGCCTGGGCCCGGGGTTGGGGCGGCGCAGAGGGCCCGGGGTGCGGCCTTTCCTAAACGGGGTGCGGCAGGGCCAGCCCAGGACGCTGCCCTCGCGGAGCTGCCCCTCCCGCCGGCCGGGACGGGCCGGAGCCCTGGGGGCTGCTTGGCTCAGGCTCCGGCCGGCCCTTGCGGGGTTGCGGGGCGGGGCCGGGAACCCCCCTTTCGGGCCGCGGTGGGGCCGGCGGGGCGGAGCTGGTGGGCGGGTGTCGGGCGCTGGTGGGGGGAGCGGGTCAGGGTGACGCGGCCTGTCCTTCCAGCTCGAGTCCAGCCTCGTCTCCGCAGTGACCCCCGGGCGAGGACGCAGGAGGGTCAGGCGGCTGCCCGCGCCCCGGCTTCTCCTGGGCAATAGTTGTCGTCCTTCCCTTTCGGCCTTTGCCGCTTTCTGGTGAATTTAAGTTGATAAAGCTCTTGACCTCCTGGATCAGCAGCTGGAACCACGACTTCTGGCACGCTGAGGATTTGTGAAACTGTTGCTCTTGACTCCCCGCCCCTGTGCCGGCAGCGGGTGACCACGGCGAAAAGACACAGTGACATAAACCATTCAGCAACGCCCGGTAAGAAAAAAAATCAGAAATCACCGGTTTTACTTGTGATTAAATGTTTGAACTCATACAGCTTAGAGCAGTTCATGTTTTATTAACGTACATATTCCAATCATGTTGCACAAGGTTGTTCATGCTGGTGTCCAGGTGCTGGACACGGTCCAGATTCCAGCCCTCAGGGACCTTCCTCCCGAGGGACAAGTACTTTTTTTTTTTTAACTGTCTTAATTGGTGTCGTCCTGGAGCCCATTCATCATCATTAGTGACCGAGTGTGTCGGGGGCAGGTCTGTCTTTACACCTGCGAGGACAGGCTGTGGTTCCTCCTCCTCAGACTCCATCACCTCCCCTGACC